AATACGCGATAGATATATTTATTTCTGGAAAGATTCTGCTTGTAACGATATTATTAATGATACAAGAAAGATTTGCTCGAAAATGATTACTGTGATTTGCAAGTGTAAATGTTATTATTTTTGATTTTGAATAATTCAATTTATTCAACGACGAATCATTATTATAAGAATACATTTATATAATTTATTCTTTTTAATACTGCATGATTTCATGACAAATGTAAAAGTGAGAAAATTCTGAAGAATGACATTTTAAATTTAACTTCAGTTCGTTTCATAGTGTCGAGGATTTTTGACAGAATATCTTGAAAATTCGCTTAAACTTTGTTGTCGGGAATCAGTTCCTTAATACCTATTAGACAAATACTTCACACTCATATAAGTTTTCTACTATTAGAAAATTATACGGCATCTTTTCTTTCAATTTAGAAGAACTTTATGGATATACATTTATAACCAAATACACATTATACACGGCAATATTTTTCCTTTCTCGAATTCGCAATCCCTTTTTCAATATTCAAATAATTCAATTCTTAATTACCAACGAAGAATCGAAATACCTTTTATCACAGTACAATGGCTGAAACCGAACCTTCCATCAAACTTTGATGGAAAAGAAAATCAAAAAGTTTGAAACCAAACCCAGCCCATATCCTGTTAGCCATAATTCCACTCCCAAGAAGAACGAAGGGAAACAAGAGTACAATGCTGGCGATCGTCCCAAGAAATCTCCACGATCCTCCCTTCCATCCATCCTCCAATGTTCCTTTCCACTTCATTAGGTTTTAATCGGCTGATTTTTAATTACTTCGGACGCCCAGGGTCCAGCAGGAGAAAGAACGCAAGAAAAATCTCTCGTGTCAAGGGGCCTTGTCGAAACGGTTAATAAGTCCGTGAAAAGGGTGGAAGGACAGTGGGAAGGGGGAGAGGGCCAGCTCGCGCCCTTGAAACTTTATAGACACTGGTAGCAATGGAACGAGGGCAGACCGGATGGGCAAGGGGAAGTTTAATTAAATATCACACGACACATCATGGGACGAGGTCGGTGTCGTTGGCAAGTAACGTCACCCGCACACCTGAAACTCTGAAAAGTTCGAACGAAATGGACTTGGACTTGGATCCGCCGGAAATGGGAGGGGAAACCAGCGGAAACAGACGTTAATCAGATATCCCTTTTTTTCCATAAATCCAATCCGACTCTGGAATTTTTATTCGGATACACCTAACCCTTGTTCTCTCGTCTCAACGGCCGATCCAATTCGCGGAGGATATTTTGGCCGATGGTACGGATATCGATGGAAATCCTAATTTCCCAATAATTCTGTCGAATGGCCGATTATAAACGTGATCCCGCGTCTGAATTCCACTCGTGGAAGAGGGAGGATTCTGTGAATTGTGCTTTCGACAGGGTAGATTTTTCTTGTTAAATGAGAAATCGTATATCTTATTATTCCCTCCCTTTTTTTGGTTACTTCTTTCTTTTAGTTTGTGGATATAAAAATTCTCTCTTCCCTTCTTCTGTCTATTGATGATGATTCTAATAATATCACTGAACTGTGTTAACTTCTCAATTAATTTTTAACAATTATCTCTTTTTATTTAATTTAATTATAATTTCTACAGTTCATAAAAATAATATATATCTCAAATATTTTCTATTAAATCTTATAACCCATTCCATATCTCATCATACAATTCTAATTTCTAAATCATAATAATTCTACATTTTCCATTCCAATATATTTCAATATACGAATTCTATCCTCGAGCTGACTTATCCAAAAATCGACTGTAACTACGTTTTATACAAATAAATCCATCCGGTTAGTTTTCACTACGATCATCCATTATGTATAGCACCGCAAATACGGATACGACTCTAACCTCGAGCAAACATCGTCCTCGACGATTAGAATGGCCTTCGTATCAGGGTAAGAAGTCCTTATCAAAGACCTTCGTATACGTTGCCTTCTGGCCAACATGCTCCTGTCATGACGATAAACATTTGCCCCGGCGTGTTTACTCAGGTCTCTCTCTTCCTCTCTTTCTCTCTCTCTCTCTCTCTCTCTCTCTCTCTCTCTCTCTCTCTCTCTCTCTTTCTCTCATCAAACTCGATCTCTGCCACGTTCGCGCGAATTAAAAGCCCATGAATATGATAAGAATGTAAATTTCACCGATGTGTTTGTCCAAGGTTCGTAGAAGCGATCTGCATAGGCGAGCGTTAAAATAGGACGTAGAAAATCCATTATACGTTTAGTTATGTCCTTCTATGGGTATAACTATAGGGGGTTAATTACGAACCGGAACTCTCGACATTCCAGAATGACGAAGCTTCGACCCTTGTTGAACGCTGAAACGGGTTTAACGAGTGGTTGAAGTTTATCAATGCCGTCCTCAGTTAATTTCGAATCAAGGAATTTGGAAAATTGATGATGGTGGAACAAATAGTGGACAGACGAAAGATCTCCTTCCTTTTTATAGGCTGTAAATTGTATTTGAGTGTTTAAATTGTTATTGATTATTATTAATGTTATTCTTCTCTTCGTTCATCTTATATGAACTTATTAAATTTTATTACCTTGAGTTTTTTTTATTATATAAAAGGAACCTACTTTCAACAACAAATCACATGAAAAATTGCATATTAATTCTATTTAATTCTTCATTGCAAATTATATATATTCCTAACAATTTCTTATGATACGATTTCATTTATATACGAATCATAACGTGATTAATGGTTTTTGAAAGAAAGATCTTTTTTTTTTTCTTATCAAGTGACCAATACGAGTTCCACGTGCAAATTTTTTTTTAATAGCAATGCGTTCCAGGAGAAAGAAAACGACCCTTCCGTTTCGAAAACGTTCGATTAATCCACGGGATTTGCTGGCCAACCTGTGTGCACCGTTCAATTATCGAGGGGCTCTTCCGCCTCTCTTACTCCGCGTTAACTGAGTTGTTGCCTCGATAATTCGTACATCGGAGTATCGGCCGTATCGCTGGGGGTTCACCGCATTAATTTGCGGCTCGGCGCGGGAATTTCTGTTAACTCTATAATCCGAAACTTACAGCCTCTTCATCGAATGCTTGGGCGACAGCTCAATTTCACAACCTCGTGAAATCGAGATTGAAAAAAGCGTGGGTTCACGCTACCATTTAAATGCCCCCAGGGGAGTATTCGGTTATTATGCCATTTATTTCGTGCGTGTAGTTCAATATTTTCATCTAATATCTTTGTTCGTGAGATTTTTCAATTTTTTTCTTTTTTTTTTTTTTTNTTCAGATATATATATTGGTTGTCGAAATATGCTTGTCAAAGAGGATATATTAATAATAATATGTATCGAATTCAAATCTGCTGGAAGAAAAATTTTATTGAATTTTAATTGTAAATATATTAACATGAATTGAAACAGAAAATTGTTGTTATATTATTAAAAGAAATATTTTCTGTTACAAATGATTTGCTTTTATATTTAAACAATTTTCTGTTAAATATTTTAAATTCCAAATTTTTTAAAAATTTTCTTTATAAGATAATGTTATAAAAATGGTAAGTTATAATAATAATAAAGAATGAAAAACACAATTATCTTTGATATTCTACTTATATCAAAATCCGAGTATAAATAATAAATAATATTCGCCTATGATTTAAATTATTAAATATTAAATTATTAAATAATAATTTTCAAATAATACCTTCTTATAGAACTACATATTTCAATTTTCTATGTATTTCTTCTTGAATTTTTCCCAGCCCCAAGCATAACATATATTATCACCGTGACAGCAAGAGAATATTTCACTTTAAATCGCCATTTTCATGAAATCTTTTGGCTCCAACTTTCATCGTGTAATCACGTACGTCATCATGGCATTCACGTTAGGATCCAGTATTACTACACGAACAAGAGTTTGGCGAGAAAGAATTTCGCACAATAAAGAGAAAAAGGTTGACAAGAAGAGGTTGGCAGAAAATTGGCCAGATTTTGTGCAAAAGCCAACCGATAAGCGGAAATCCGGAAACGTTGACTGTTATCATCCAGGCACAGGATAAATCTTTGATTTACAATCGTTTAAAGTTTATTTATTTTAACGTTGCCTCGCGAAACGATCGACTCATTACACGTTATCAAAAATTTATCGTTGCTCTTCTTCGTATTTTAGGATTTGTATTTACGTTCATCGAGGTTTATTATCGGTTGGCCTACGTGAGCCGTACCTCTCTGGACTGAATCTGTTAATATCGAGGCAAATATTGATTTGCAAATATGGGAAGTTGGATAAGTATTTAAACACAGGGTTTGGTGCTTTTTTCGAGAGTGTATAATCTCGAGAGAGAAAAAGAGAGAGAGAGAAAGTGATTGAAAATCTGAATAGCTTCGTTTCGAAATATTGTTCTTAATTTACCGTGTGATGTATCTCTGAGTGAGATTAAAAGGCAAATATTTAGAATCTCTGTCTGTATATTGTGAAAGTTTGAAATATGAAAATGTTGGGTAAATTTGTATTTCGAAATTGAAACGAGACAATTTATTTTGGATTGTTATTTAAAATTATTAAGTATTTTGTAAGTATTAATTTGAAAATTATTTCACTATTCTCGAAAATTTATTATATTTTTATACACGCATTCTTTATTCGTAATTTTAATTATTAAAATTCGTTAAAATTTTTGCAATTATTATATTACGTTAATTTTTTTTAAGATTTGATCAATTATTCAATATTAAATTTTACTCTAACGTTTATTGTTGTAAAGAAAATCTAAGAAAATCTAGATCAGATATTTCTTATCATTTCTTGCATAATCATTTATATAGTACATTTAAATACACGTTATAGGTCGCTAGACGAGACAAGCAGTAAAGAAGGCTTGTAAGCTTGTAAGCTTCTTTTAGTAGGCTTTTGCGGCGAGATACGCGCTAGCAAAGCAGTAAACTTCCATCAGGTCACAAGCACAGTTACAAATACGAAAGTTATGCACCACTTACCCGTGTAAGGTCGGCAATAGTTGCGATTTACTTTGCTGTAGATCGTCGGCAGGGATGTCTCAGCTCCTGGCTCGACGTACGCCTTGTTCTTACTATCCTTCGGGTCGCTGTATTGTTCCACAACCTCGACTTCCGCCTGAAAATAGAGCAGAAGATCGTTCCCTTCCGTTACAATTCCTCAAGCATCCCACAATGTCGACTGCTATACACTTTCCCAGATATTTATAAAAATAGTTTCTTTCTCTAATTCTATCTATAATTTTTTAGCATCTTTCAGAATCTTCGAATTCTAACGATGAAGAAGAGTAAAAATCTTCGTAAAATATTTGGAATCCTTTAGAATCTATTGAATTCTAAAAGGAAAAATTTTTCAAATTTTTTAAATTTCCAGAATTCGATAGAAATCATTCTAATCTTAACAAGATATTTTGTATCTATGAATAGTTACATTATAAATGTATGTTATAACATGTAGAGACGACAGTCTTTCGAAAGTAATTCGTCACAAGCAATTAACTAATTTGAGAAATATCAAGATATATCAGTGACATAAATATCAGTCACAAAGTTTCCATGATAAATTTAACATGTACTCATAAATCATTGAATAAAAAATAATACAATTCTTCATTAAGTTCCACCATCTAGGATACTGCATCGAGACTACCATATTCTTCTTCTCACTTTGAAATAACGAGAAATAACTTCATCAAAACTACATGATTTTGCGTAATTTCGTAAGATTATTTAAACAGTGCAAATACAACGGAACTCCTCTTTATGGAACGAATTCTATGCCTATTTCCTCACGACGTTTTCTATTCCAGCAACGTTCAAGACGTTCTATTAATTCACCAGAATGTTAAGTACCTTTTATTAAGCGCGGAGATTAGATATCCTCGGAGGAAAACAGGAAACGAAACGGGGTACACGGTTGTTCCGTTTAAGAGGAGGAGAAAGTTAAAAATGTTTATTCTACGACTCGGTCGGCCAACGCATTACCGCAATTGGCCGTGCTCAGGGCATGGAATTGCGTTGGACTAACGTGTCGCGTGCTTAGTCGAAGAAACTCGTGCAATAACCCCCGTTGATGGTATCCCCAAAGGGTCGAAGCTGGACGTTGTTAGCCAGCCAAGCTTTGGCTAGCTCGATGCCAAATTGTTACCGACCAAATAATTTGTGCCGCCTAATTTGATGTTGTTTTCCACTGGTATGTAAGAATCTCATTTCTTGAACGAGTTCTCCTCCCTTCTGATTATAGCTTCTTATTTATTTCTTCCATGGTTGTTTGTGAAAATATAAGTTTAATTTTTCGTTTGTTAATTTATTTTTTAAGTATTAATTATTTTTGCTTTTGTGTTATATTTGGAGGAAAGAATATTTTAATAAAAATATTATAGACATTATTATACAAATGTCTATTTATTATATTTGTAATAATATAAATGAGATGGTAGGTGAATAAATTCAAATCAGATGAAAGTTATTTAGAAAAAGATTTCTAAAAAAATAAATGGAACATATATTAATAAATATTATAATATTATATTTATATAATATAATATTTCATCACCAAACAAGTCAATGTACACCCAATTATCAACATACACAAAGGTAAACAATCTCATTCTACTACGTCAAATCCATTCGTTCCTCGTTCCTCGAATCTTAAAAACAAAAAAATCCCATCCATCCACAAATCCAGTCTCCATTCATCTTGACCCTATCACTCTTATTTCCTCGATCTCGAGCAACGTCCACGTTATTAAACAGGTGCGTGCACAATGGGGCGTGTTTCGATCGATCCTCCACCATCCAAAAGAAAACCTTCAACAATTCATGGAGGAGAGCTCGCCAACTTTCGATTTTAATGATAATAACGATAATAGAAGCAATAACGATGGCCTCTGGCTTCCCTTCCCTCCCTCCACGCGACAGAGAAGGAGAAGAAAAAGAAGGAGAAGAAGAAGAAGAAGAAGAAAAAGAAAGAAAGAAATACTCGTCGAAAGGAAGGCATCTGATCAATGGCGGCGGAAACTTCTCCTCCTCGCACTTCCGCCACAAGCTTGTATCACGGTTCTCTGCTCGAAGAGAGGAAGACAGACGAATTGAAATGACGGAGGCTGTTGCAAGGCGTGCGAGAAGAGGACAGGCAAGACAAGTAGCCTTAAATTGAAAGAGGCCAAAATTGGAATTCTCCTGCCAAAGTTGAGCGTCGTGGCCCCCGGGGGTTGTTTCGAAACCGATTGCCTTCTGGCTCTATCTCTCCTGCTCTCTCTCCCTCCCCTCTCCTCCTCCTTTCTTTGTTGGTGCGTTGGTTTCGTCGTTGGAACAGATAAATTCGTGGATGTTTATACGGAAATTACGAGGGTAACTTCCGCAGGCGAAAGAAGTTGGGAATTTGTCGGCGTGGCAAGCGAACCGATCGACTGTTGAAAATTCGATCATCTTGCCGATTGATTCTTAAGCCGGAATATGAGACGCGTCTTGGAGATGACTATGTTGAGTTTGTTGAAGAAATCGTGGAAGGGTGGATTGGAACAGGTAAGTTTGTTTTTAAAGATTTTATGATGTAATATATCTTTTAATATCCTAAGTGTATTTCTTTCTTTTATATAATTATATACTTATGAATACGTTTGCATTTATATACCAATTTAATTACATAATCTTAGTAATTTATACAATTATTTGTAGAATCATAGTTATTTGATTAATTTAATTCTCTATTTTTAAAATAGAGGAGAATATATGGTAGTGAATGATTGATAAGCTGCAATATCCTATTTGAAAGAATGTTCAGAAATTGTGAATTGGAATAATTAAGAGAATCAAAGATAATACAACACGATTTTTACGGTTCATATATCTTCTTGATGAAATTGAAAAATTTAAATATTATATTATTGTATTATTGTATATTATTATATTATTATAAATTCATTTTAATAGAGATGATGGTGCATTACCGTGGACGATACCGTTCATATATTATCTATACTACTCGTGTTCCTGATGCAAGGATCGATTTTGTTAGCTGATATGTCAGCGTGTAAGTGGAAAAAGACAGATTGAGGAGAACGATATGGAACAGTTTGAAATGTGTTTGAGCAGTGTATGATCGATGAACCAAATCTGGTTGCAAGACTTGACGTATCTAGGTATGTATGATATTTCGTGGTTGAATGAGAATTAAAATACATTCCATAAAATTTAGAGTGCATTTAAGTGATGAAATGATGGAGAAAGAAATTCTAAAGGAAAAATTTTCCTTAAAATATCTTTTTTAAAGTTTTCAAACTTAGATCTTTGATTTAAAATTAATGCAAAGTATGTCGTAACTTTTTAAATTAAGTTTTCATACTTGTTCATAGAAGAGATCATTGATAGAATTTCCTACACAAGTAATTACACAAAGAAACTATTTAAATGTATTTCCTATTGTCCATAGTTTAAATTCACTCCTTAAATCGCATCTAAATTCGAACGAATTTTGTATAGAATTTTCATTCTATTATCTGAAAATGAATAAGAGTAGGAATTTCAGAGAAATAACGAAGTTTCCTTTTTTTTTCTTCTTTTGCAATTTTGTATTTAACTCGAGAATACTTGAGCAACGATGAAATAAAGGGAGCATTATAAAAATCGTTTTAATTTTGTATTACTACGTAATTAGCACAATTTCCCAGAAGATAGAGAGGATAAGATGCTCGATTATCGGGCTTGTGATGAATATCGAAATTTACAGATTATGAAGCAAACGATTATGCGAATCAAGATTGATGAGCGAACTTTAATCAACGTATTATTACAGTGGAAACTTGCAGAGTTTAATAACACAATAAAGCGAATGAATGATATAAAGGGAAACAAATTTATTTTATTTGCAGGGAATAAAAAATTTCAAAGAAAGTAAATATACATTATTTAAAATATGCAAGTAATTTGAATAAATTAATATGACGTAATAAAATGAAAATAAATTTGAAGCAACGTAAATATCTTTATTATTCTTAATTATTAATGTTATTAAAAATAAAGATAACAAATAATATGAACAGATATATTTACTCGAAGATAAAAATGTTTGCAAAGAAATTACAAACTGTTTGAAAAATAAATTGATTTGTTGTATTAAATAATTTATTCCAAATTGGAATATAAAAATACAAAATAATAGAAACAACAAAAACAAATTTTTCACGTGAGAACATTAATAATTAAGAATTGTGAAATTCAAAATCAATGAAACATTTTCAGAAATAACACAACAGATAAATTACGTTGACTAATTGAACGATCATTGAACATCAAAAATAAAATCAAATTAAAAGAAAAAATATTAAAATGATACATCTTTAAAATACATTACTGAATTAACAATATTACCTATGATAATATTACAGATTAAATAAAATAGAAATTTGCAAAATTTGTTAAGTTAAATAGGCCCAATTTTGTTATGACGTGTAACACGTTAAATCCCTTCGAATTTTAAACATCATTATCTCGGACAGCATTAGACCACAGTTAGCACGAATAACTACGTTAACAGTCCGCCAATAATCCCATCGGTTTATCGGACTTTAATCCGATTATACGACCGTCGTATTATAATTGACCGCGATTATTATCCAGCCCATAATCTCGCTTTCGCGCGCGTGATTCTCGACATGTAGGTATCATTTTGCTATTACTATATATGCACGAAATAAACGAAATCTGATCAATGAATCTTTGAACCATTGATAATTAAATTCATAAAGAATTAAAGTTTGAGTGATACGTGATACAAAAGTTAGAAACAATAAATGGTCTTTTCTAGAAAAAAATTCGATTTCATTCGAGCTGAATAAAAATCGAGGGGTACACAACCTTGAAAAGTTCCGTGATCTCGCATAATGTCGCGTGAATTTCGCTGTCGAAGGAGCTTAGCCTGCAAAGTTTAACGCTTTGGAAACATATCCGATAGTCTCTTCTAAAATCTATCGAGGTATCCAGTAATAGAGAATCTATCTTATCTAGTAAAAACGAAATGAGAAAGATATTTGAAATTCGAGAAAAGAATTATTCTAAATCGATGTGTTAATTGATTTAGTTTTGATTAATAGTTGAGAATAATAAAAATTATTGTAGAGAAATATTACGTGTAATAATTAAATATGTTTAAATTAAAATAATGTTTAAATTAAATGTGCAAAGAATGTGAATTTAATTTACTTTCTTAATAAACTCTATTAATAATAAAATTTAGCATTATATATCTCGTTTCTACGTATATATTTAAAAAATATTTCAACAAATAATATATATGTCAATTAAAGCAGTCTGAAGATCCAATCTACGAGGGTAGTCAGACTGCCATAAATAACAGTACCAATAACGAGAGGTGAGGGCAACGTTGGCGACAGTGTTTATTACCTTGGGAAAGAATCTATGGTGTGATAGATCTTTCCTATAACGTTTAATAGTATTTCATACGAGATATTGTTAAATTCTCAAAAAATTAAAAATAATTCTCTTAGATTTGAACGGTGATTCATTAGATTTATATAAAAACGAAACAAGAATTTAATCATATTAGGGAAAAAAAAAGAATGACCATCAAATGGAATAAAAAACTTCTTCTCTTTCAATTTCAATAAATATAAAAAATCATACAAGATTTTCTCCTCTCAGAAACACCAACTTCTCGATCGACTTACCAAAACTACCCTTCATCCACCGGTTAAACATCCTCTGAAACTAAAGTACTTAGGAAACCATAAATCCCCTTTTCACTTTCACGATAAATAAACATTGCTTTAGCATAGAAATAAAACAATAATTACATTCTTAAAAAGAAAAAGAATAATCACCAAATAAAAATTCTCTTACACATCTTACAATCGATCGTTACATCATCAAACAACTACCCTTCATCAAATTCATCAAATTGCATATAAATAAATGTTAATATAAAAATAAAGTAAGAATTATTTAAAAAAAAAAAATAATCAAAAAAAAAATTCTCTCTCTCTCTCTCTCTCTCTCTCTTTCTCTCTCTCTCTCTTTCTCTCTCAAGCAATAGATATTAAAAGAATCACGTAAAATTTCTTTTTTCTCAAATCCAAAGCATCGATCGTGGCAAGATCACTCTTCATCCACCGGTTAAACATCCTCTGAAACCTCTGAAAGATAGAGTGTTTAGGAAACCATAAATCCCCGTTTCACTTTCGCCACCACGCGACCGCGAAATTTCCATCGCTAGGAAACAAGGAGGCGTCGGCTCGAACTTTCCTCGCGCGGCAGGGCTCTTTGTTAAAGTGATAAATGCGACCTACAGCCCGACCTCACGCATAAAATAAAGCGCTAAAGTATTAAGTAGGGCTTACGAGAGGAGCGGGAGAGTCGTAACGATTCACCCTCTTGAATCAAGTGGCACCCGGTTTCCTCTCTTTGTCGCCCTCCACCTCCACCCTCCACGAACCACCCCCTCCCCCCTTTGACACCACAGTTGCGACGAGCACTTTCGTTTTCGAGGGACGTGGCGACACAACGAAGGAAAACTTTTCTTCTTCTCGTCGCGAGCAGGTGTCCCCACCTCTTTGTCTCCTCTCCGTTTTCGATCTCCCTCTTCTTTACGACTCTTCTTCCTTACTCGTGACAATAACTTTTTGTCGCCTAGCGAATGATGCTTGCAATTTGTTGATGACTGCAGGGTGCAGATGAATTGTGAACATTGGTTTGGTTCGAATTCTAATTCTTGATTTTTATTCCATTTTATATTTTTATATCACGTTATTATTATATCATGTGGTTTTGTGTATTACACAATGAGTAGATAGTAAAAATTATATGATAATTTTTTTGGAATATTGTTCGAGAAAGAGCATAATTTAATTTGTTAAGGATTTTTATCGCGCTTTTTTGGGACGACAGTTCTGTCAATTCTCATTAATTCGTAAAACAAAAATTCATTTCGAATTCATTGTTAATTACAAATAACCTCCAATAACCAAATAATATTAAACACACTCTTAAATTCCACGTAATCAAAAAAAGAAAAAATAAGTACTCATTAAAATTAATCGTAAAACTGTTTCCCCAGATACTCAAATTCCATTTAATCGGAAAATATTCCAAGGATCTCCGCATCAACAATTTTACTCGCATCCAATATTCAACGTGGGAACCTGGTTTCCGCGACAAAGCGAGCCGAGATTCCGTGTCACGTGCAGGATGGCGTCGGTAAACGCGGTAAACGCGACGTCCTTTCGAGGACACCGGGGAGCACAGTCAAGGTAAGCGGTATTTCGACTGCAGAGAAACATTTAGGCGCTCCGCTCCGGGCAATCCTGAGCACCAGAAGCTGAGTGGTGGAACAATTATAAGCACCGCCGGAAGTCACCTCCATCTCTCTTTTCACCCTGCTCGCACGATTCCCTTCGTCCTTCCGTTCGTTCGTTCGTTCGTTCGTTCGACCTTCTTCCACCCCTTTTGCACGCTGCCAGTCCACCCTCCATCGTGCCCAGCGGGTATTTTGTCACCATCGTAATTATATTTCTCCCTTCAACCGATTCTTCGACCGCCGGCGACGAGAAAATATCAATACTGTTGGTTATTCGTAGAGCGTTATCCTACGAGTGGATCGATGCTGAAGACGACGCTTCGAATCGATGATGAAGTGGATTTTCATTGAGAGTTGAATTAATTTAAATACTCGATTATTGAAAAATTTCAGATTCTTTTTTTTTATTATTAAAATTGACGAATGTATATTAACGAGATTTGGAGAATCAGAGTTTTTTTAAAGATTCTTCTTGCAGCTTATCTTTGATAAGATAAGATTCTCGTTTGTTGATTATAACTATATATTCGTATCAATTCTGTGCTCAAAGGGAGGAAGCCGTGGTTGAGTGATAAGATCGATTTGATCGAAATTTTAAACAATTGATTTTGTTATTTTGTTTAGAAAGATATTTATAAATCATGATCAAAGCCATTATTGAATATTATTGATAAAAAAAGAAAGAAGCGAAGATATAAAATTAATGGTATACGAGACGGTAAATAATATTTCGTTGCTCAAAATCCTTGTGTATATTTTTTCATTTGATAGAAATACCTCGTATCTTTCCGATTTGGAACGAGCGTACAAATATTGATATCCTTTATCGATGAAAAACAAGCGACGATAAACGAAATATGATACGGGTGATACGATTAACGAACAATGCACGTTTATTGAATCGAGAGAATCCGAATAAAATCTGATTGAATACCAATACATGGTTGTAAACGGTACGTACGTAGCAAGTGGTAAAATTTCCATTTTATAATTATATTTTAATTGTACCATATTCGCATTATGTTTGGAAAACGAAATTCGTTCCTCGCGATCGCGAAATTCTCACGAAAAATATTGATAAGGTGATTTTAATCTCAAATATTTATTTTGAAATTTAATTAATACTCACGTTCTCTACGGTAGGACTTGGAAGCGCCCACTGGACCGTAGAAGTTGCAGCCGCAGCACTTGCAGGACGTCTTTTATTAACAAAATCGACCGGTAGACTGTAGTCGTCGCACAGGGACACCTGAAAATTATGAATTTCGTCAATACATTTGATAATAATTTAAAATAGAAGATGAAACAAATCTCTTTTATAAATGAATAATGGGAAAAAATAATAACCCCATTTGGAATATTTTCACGCTCACATTACTTAAAAGAACACATTCAACGAAATATACAATAGATAATTTACTTCGTTATAATAATCTGACGAATTATTATCCTATATTTTACAAAAATGCAAGGACAATTTCATAATTCCAAAAAACATTTACAGTTCCCATGAACGGCCGCGAGCAAAGAGTTATTCCCCTTAAAATCAATTAGCCAAGCCATCATACTTAATACACGGCACGCAGTCACCGGTGAACTCCGCCCGGGAATAAAAATATTGCCGGGTCGGTCATTAAGGGGACATTTCCGAATTAATTCGGATAATCGTCGGGACGGGCTTCGCTATGCACGCAGGAAGCCCCTCGTTCGCAACAATTTCCCTCGCTCGCTTCGAAAGAAAGGGGAAAGGGTAAAAAAAAAAAAAAAAAAAAAAAACGAAAAAGAAAAAAATTACCGGAGCAGCACGTTGTTAATCCCCTCACAACGTCCAGAGCTACGCGACTCCCTCCCAAGGTATACCACCTTCTCGCCATACCTCGGTAAAAATCTCGAATGGAAGGGGTGTAAAAAATATCAAGAAAAGAAAAAAAATCGCAAGAATAAAGAATCGGGATAAATAACTATATATATATATATATATATAGTTATATATATATACACGCTGTAGGGGGTGGAGGGTCAATGGCGTGGCGAGAGTGGCGCGAGAATTTCTGCCACTCGACAAATCGTGCGGGATAAGCGCATCCCTCCCTCCCTCCCTCCCTAACCCGGCCCTAAGTCCCAATCGTCGAGGACCGGGCCGGCTCATCAACGATATTTACTGTCTGCCACGAGGATCGATCTATCGATGGGTCGCAACTGCCGCTGCACACGGTGCCACCCTCGCCTCCTCCTCCGCTCTCCTCTTCGAAACGAAAGCCGTGGTGGCCAACGGACCACCGCCTACGTCTGTGCATGCATATAAATCGAGACAATCGCGGATCCCCGGGGGCGGCTTATCGCGCTGGAGTTGAGCCGCGGAGGGGTGGACGAAGCGAGCGCCCCCGGGGAGACCGGGCCACCCAACGTGTCGAGGGTTGGAAGGAGACGGGGAGTGACACGGAGGATAGGGACCCCGGAGGGTTGGAGCGTGTATGGAAGGGGGGGGGGGTGTTCCAGAGCGGAGACCCTACATGCAAATGGTGCGCATTTATCGTGAGCAAAGAGCGGCGTATGAATATGTGAAGTGGGAAATGAAACAAAACGAGAGAAAGAGAAAGAGAGAGAAATATTGGGGGTGGAGTAAGATCGGGTGCTGGGTTGAACGAAAACGGAAATGGACGGGACAGAGGGTGGTATCTGGCGTCGTTTCGGGGGAAGTATGATCGGAAGGGTGAAGAAGACACGAACGGAAAAGTCGAGAGGCGTTTAATGATCGACGATCGTCGATTGCTTCGCGAGCAAGTTGGGTAAGGGATTTATTTTCGAGTGTTTTTCTTTTTTTTTTTTTGTTCCGCCTCTCTCTCGCAGATTTTTGCAGATATGTTTTCGAGGGAGAATCGAATGCTGGGATAGAGATTTTTCGTAGAGACGTTTTGTGAGTTATTATTAGAGCGATTTGAAAATGATAAAGATATTTGAAACGGATGAATTAAAATATATATCTTTATTTGAAATAATATTTTTAATGTGCACTGTTGTGAAACAAGTATTTATATGAAAAAAAAAGGTAATATTATTTGATCATTTGAAATCTCATAGAAATATTTTCCTTATTAGATAAATTGATAAAATTTTGATACAAATTAAATATTTTCTCTTATTCTAATTTATTAATTCTAATCTTTTTTTTTTTAACTAAAAATTAAATTCTTTTCTAAAGAATTATACAATCGTATTAATTTTCCCCTAGAATTATGCATCCCCACAATATGCATCCTTTTTAAATCTCAAAATTGATGGTAAATGGTGTATATACTGTTTTAAACTTGGCCGGCTTCGGAGTTAAGTATCAACCTCCCTATACGGAACAGAAACACTTCCCTTTCTACAGAGGAAGCCAAATAGACGAACTAGGCCGACTGACCATCATGGTATCATGGTATGGGGATTGGAATCTGGAGAAAACCGCCAAATAGCCTGCAGTCAAAGGGTACCGTTTCAAATTATCGCTGTTTGGGAAGACGGTGGCGTGGCAAGATACATCGCGCCATCTCTCCTTGCAATATTCACCAGGGAGAAGTTTACTCTCTCTCCAACGTTTCCGGATTCCATTTTCATATTTTACTTTCCCCCTTACCGTTTATCCGAGATACGAATTTATCTTCTTCCATCTCGATTTCTCGTGTTTTCTTAACTTGATAAACATTTAACTTTTATCAATAGATCACGAAATTACATCATCACTGACATTTAGAAGCATTTAATACGACATCTCTCGAAAAAGAATAACCTTTGCGTATCGTTATCGTTGAATCAAAGAAAATTACCTCGATCATCAAAGTAAAAAGAAAAAAATAAAAATAAAAATAAACAAATTACTCGACAACCTACCACGTTTTATGATCCATTCAAAGCCCAACAAAGAAGCAAAAAAGGAGAAAAGGTAAAATCGGCTCCCTCTTCAAAGTTCTGCTCCCTTTACTGTACGAGCCAATATACGAGTGTTAATTCCGTTCATCGAGAGAAAAAAAAGAAAGAGAAAGAGAGAGAGAGAGAGAGAAGACGCGCGTGCGAGGGTAAAATCGCGATCCCCCTCGAGGGCCTTTTTCGTACGGATCCCTCGCTCAGATTTTCGTCGAAGGAAATACCGTGGTGCTGACTTGTTCGACGTCGCATTCCGCCTAGCCGAGATTAAGCGGGAATATTTAGCAAATGTTTCGTATAAATCAAAGCGGCGCAATATGTTTCGAGTTCGGAGCGAGGCTATGTAAATTCATGGTAATATCGGCTGGCCACCCCGCGGAGAGCGAAGAGTTTCGATTCGGGGAAGGGGAGCGAGGGTGGACTGAGAGTTAAACGAACCGGGAACCGAGGAGGATTCGATAAAGATGTAAGTATAGGATATTTATTTTCAATGTTATGAAACGAAAAAAATGTTATGATTCGAAAATGAGGAGATTTTGAATTCGTGAAACGTTCTTTGAATTTATAAGATTATTACAAGATGTGGAAATTATTGTAGATAGATTGTTTTTTGGAGAAAACTTTCTTATGAAATTATTATCTCCTGTTACATTGGAAGATGACTTCTCTTATGATTTAACAATTAATAATATTAGTGGCTCGAAATGTGTTAGAAATTGATTAGAAAATCGACAAGTTGCTATGAATAAGAAAAGTGATCTGTTTAACAAAATTAATTTAAAATCTATTCTACTTTAATTGAATCGAGAACCAAAGAAACTAATATGCTCCTAATAAATAGTTATATCTTTATATTATTACAAATAAAGAAAGTTTAAAATAATTTGACCAATAATAATATAATACACATAATAATTTTTATAAGATTATTTTAAAAAAAATTTACCATTCATATCTCATTTCAGTGAATTAATAAGAAGCAATATAGAATAGAAGCAAAATATTACATTACAATGATACATACAATTGTAATAACACAGAAGAAGAGATGATAAAATGGATTGATGGAATAGTTTTTAGAAAGTTTTGGTTAGAAAGAGAGGGACAAAGGTGAAAGGAGACCGAGAGAAAGAGCACAGCCTAAAGAGGGTAGCAAGCGCGTATTTCATGAACCCCTAAAGCAGCCCTAAGCATTGCTGCAACCGCCACAATCCCATTCATTCTCTTTATGGGCTCCCAAGTATTCGGGAGCGGGCTTGAATAAATCGGAAATTTGCCCCCGGGAAACGGGCCACCCCCGCACCATTTGCCTACGACTTTCGAACTGGTCACTCGCGTTTACCCCGCCCCTGCTACACACGAATCGTCGAACGATATGACTTATCGTTGTGCACGTTGTGTATGAGCGGTAATTTTCGTTCGAATTGGTGATAGTAGATTAGCTGGAACAACTATTTTCGCTTCTCTACGATCGATGCGAGATTATCGCTCTTTGTGCATCATTATTGCTCCGAAATTTTATTCAAATACTACAATATATCTTTTCATTGAATATTATGAACGAATTTAAATAAAAATACAAATGATTATATATAATACAAATAATTGAGAAGTTGCAGTTCGAAGTAAAGCACACTCATAAAAGAATCAGAAGATAAGATATCAAAATCTATTATAAAATAATCTGAATGGATTACAAGTTAATTTTTTTGCATAAAACGCGCGATAGAAAATATTGAACAAATTATAATAAATAAATGATTTATTATACATTATGAATTTTAAATAATATTGTAAACGAATAAATTTTAAATTTTACAATATACAATTATATATATTAAATATTTTAAATCGATGCAGTTTAAAAAATGTATATTCTAATACGTAATAACATCTAAGATAGAAAAATGTATGAACATCGAACATAGTCAAACTGTGGGGATTGTGGAGCGTAATTAATATTTCAAACATAAATCACGCGAAATAATCCAAGAGTTCGAAACTATGATAAAGCGAGGGAAGGGATGATTCCATTCCTCTATCTAACTATGCGGAGAACGTGTTCCATGAGACGGTGAAATGCTCTAAGCTATTTACCGGGCTAAATGTCGCTAGACAGAAGCTATAAAACATTCTGCTAAACCTGCAACCATAATTCTTCAGCGTCAGACTGTTTTTCCATTTTGTTTTTTTTTTTTTTTTTTTTTTTACATATTGCAATTTATGATGTTTTTAATTCATTCGAGATGAAAGAATTTTCTTTTTACAATAGAGATGTAAGAATACGATTAACGACAAGAAAATTTGGAAATTAAAAAAGGGTGAGTGTAATTTTTGAATATTTAATTATTACAGACTGTGATTAACAGATATGAGTGATGCTTTTGTCAAGAGATTTTTATGACATACTATGCAACAATTTCCTAACAATTCTAATTATTAAGGATATTAATTTTTCAGTTTTTAATTACGATAAAACGTGTGTGAAAAGATTATAATAGATAACGTGTCAATATGTTTAATCGGAGACTTTAGAAACAGACGAATTACGCAAACAGATCGATCGCGATGACACAATTAACCCCTAACTTGGAAGGGTTGAAACTTGAATAGCTAAGGGTCTTGATGGTGAAACCTGCACAGAATCCCTAAATGCTCGTTAGTAAACTGTAAATTTAGCAGCTCATGGGCTAATTTGCATTTGAATCGAGGTACGTAAACCGTGCGGTGGAAAAGTATTCGTTATGTGACCGTAATGTTAAGTTCTTTTCCCATGGATATATTGATTTCTGCATTCTCTGGTAACTCATTTAATCATCACACCTTGAAATAACGATATGAATATTCATTACTTATCATCATATTCATCAACATTATTCATCTCTCTCATTTTCCTTCGATAATTAACATCCAAACTCAGGATAATCAATCATAACTCATACAAATATCTCCACTTATTTTCCAACACAAATTCATTATGAAATTTACGTATGCAAGAAACCTTTATCAAAGAAACTCTTCCAACTACTCTTACCACCAATTACTACCACCAAAAAAGACCAAAGAAACGATTCTTACCCTTTTTCCACGCGCAACGTTCCCTAACGAATCCTGTCGCGAGCGAAACGAGAAATAAGGAGCTAGGAGAACGAAGCTAATAGTGATCGATGACGAGTGAAAGGTCCCAAATTCGAAATCTCTCTCTCGGAAGATGTTCATCTCGCGAGCGTGGATATATCGCCCTCGAGACGGTACAAGGTAAACGCGTTAAAGTTTCACGAGATGAAGGGCCAGTTGCCAGACAGCCGAGGCCGAACTTACCCTACCAGCTATTCAACATCGTTTTAGCAGAACCACGTGACCACCCTTCAATTCGATTCGCTGAATCGAGAGTCGCCTTCGACTCGTTTTTCTTCGTTCGTTCTGCGTTATATTAGTTGGCCCCGTGGGTAACGTTTCACCGAGACCAGAAGAGTTGAAAAATTATCCCCGATCGCTTTTAACCCCTGTGACAGAGATGGAGTTATAATAGCCTCGAAACCGTGGCGCGTAAAGTGTGGGTGATAATGTATGGGGGAAGAAGAAGGATGACTATATATGAATTTAAGTTTATCTTCTTTCCTTCCCGGAGTTACGCGTTTCATCGAGTTACGTGAAATAATGTTCTTCAAAATTGAGATGACTGTACGAGTTTGGGGTTTATGAGTTTCAATTGAGTTTTATGAGTTTATGAGTTTCAATTGAGTTTTTTTTTTTTTCCTTGACAGGTTTATCGAGCGAGGAGGATGTAATATTCTTTAAAATTGAAATAATGTCAAATTTTCACAAGTTTGTTGAAAGTAATAGTTTGTAAGATTTATTTCGTTTATCTTAAACTTTTTTTTAGTGGTTTAAGGTTTCGAAACTTCTTTGAAAACTTCTTTTATATCCTTCCAAAACATTTTGCTTTTTTTTTATTTATATTTTAGTACTCTAGCTTAAATTCGCTCTATCACCTGAAACTTTCAACGTTTTCGCGTTAATGGATTTAAGAACTTGTTCAAAATGAATTAACAATTACGAATTTGTTTCTAATCGAATCTGTGTCATCATAGTAACTATTTTCTCTATTCCTAAATATAACTAAAGATCCCTAAATTGATATATACGTACCAAAAATCATCCTCCAGCATTTCTTCCACCAATAATCAAGGAAACACTTCAAAAAAAAACAAACACGAGTTAATCGAAACGGAACTAAAGTCAATCCAAGATGGAATCGAAATACCATCGAACACAGATAGAAGGGGAAAGAAGAAGTAAAAGAAATAGCAGAAGAAGCTAAGAAATTCCATGATTTCACGAAAGCGCGGCCCCTTCGTCTTCATTTAAACGGATTCGCGTGTCCCTCGGTCCTTTTGGTCCTTCCAATCGGACAGAAATGTGCCACCGAAGGACCACCACAGACCTTTTTGTCGCGTCTCGAACCAGGGGTCACCGAGGGGTCTCTTCAAAGAGAGAAACTCGCCTCTCAAAGTCTCTACGGGAAGAGAGACTCCAGCAGCCTCCTGTAGAACGAGTGGAAACGGGTCTATGCAATAAGAAGCTGGACTAGGGGTTGTCGGAACGGCCTCTAATCGGCCGCTATCTTTAGATCCAACCGTCTTTCTTGCGATGGTCTCCTTCTCTTCTCTTCGCCGGCGTCTCAGACCCCTCCCCGACAAAGGTTCTTTAACGAGTCCCTCCATCCTCGAGGAGATGAAAGAACGCTCGTGAATATTGCGCCTCTATTTAATCACCAGCAATTTCGCCCATTGTACTATGGCAAATAGGTTTTCGGATGATGTATAACCGTGCTCTTTGCTCTTCTTGTTTTGGAGTTTGATTGTAAATGAATGTTTTGCGTGATTTGTTTTGGTGAAAGCATAATGTTAATTATAATATGTTATAAGATGAACAAGACGTTGGAGCAACATGGTGATCTTGAATAATATAGATGTACATTTATTGCAATTGATTTTTATATAGTTTATTATCTTTCTATTGTTTGATGTAAGATACATACATTCGATGAAGTTTAACTTTATTGGTTATTCGTTCTTTTCTCGAGTAATAATATATACATTCCTTTGTCTAATTTATTTACAATGTACTTCCATTTGTAAATCGTTCCATCGTCCCTTGATAATTTTATAATTTTGAAAGTTTGTCGATCAATAATAACTATTAAACATTAAATTCTCTCTCATCGTCTTTTCCGCTCCAAAAGTCTTCGAAACTTTCGAAACAAAGTCAGCCAAGAATAGCCAAGCACTCTTCAACCACCACATTTCCAAAGGGATGAAGAACCATCGAAAGGACACGACGCTCAATTATACGAATGTTAGGACCTAACCTCTAGGCCCCTAAGATCTTGAGAAACTTGGGCAGAATGATCCCCGAGCATTGCGTGTCGTCCGTTGAAGTGTGTCTCCATCCATCGGGTTGGACTTCCAACTCCAGGTGGACGAATTACAGGGGGATCGTTAAAGTTGGCGAGGCTTAAGCTTCCCCCCACCCCTTCGAAACGTCCCTACCAGGTAAAAGTTTAAACGCTCCTCCAAATGGAATACACGAATTCCCAACGATGAATACGTGGGATGGAGTGTGGAGATTGCTCTCGACGCCTGGCTGGGGGAAATAATTAACTTTTTCCAACCGGGAAGAACCGCGTTGTACGAATATGAATTTTTTGGCCAAACTTCCGTTTGCTTTTTGGTCGAGGGGAACGAGCAATGTAACCATCCGTTGTATTGGTAAGCATTGCAATTCGAGACTGGGTTAAAGATCTTGTGGATGAATTTAATTTTGCGTACTTTCATTGGAATTAATTTAAAAAGATAAGATGGAAGATTTGCGAGAATATTAAAAAAAGTATCATCCACGTATTTTAATTTTCTTAGATTTATAAAATTAATAATAATTTATTATTATGGATAAAAATTCATCAAACTCAAACACTTCCAAACTCCTTCATATTTATATAATTTATTTAAATTAATTTCCACACTCTCCAATTGATATATTTCTAAAATTCTAAATTTTATTCTAAATTTCTTATAATAATTATCTTCAACTTTCATGATTAAGTCTCTAATTCGATTAATTCGCTTTGCATCCGATTTTTACACGAGCGTTCCCCTTTATACAATATCATCCAAGATGGAATAACGCTGATGTTAAAAAATCCCCTTCAGGACGAGACATTTCACACTTAGATGTTTAACCAACGAGAGCGTCTATTACCTTCGATGGTTTCTCGCTATAATCTGAGCAGCGAGGAGCGAGGAACGTTGCTGTCCGCGAGGAAGGGTTGAACCGTGGCGTTGCAACCCCTGCAGCTCCCACCCACACGACGACTCGCATCCATCCCGTGAGCGTGTAGATACTCATAGAAACGGGCGTGATTGTTCCACCGGTTTCTCTATTGGGATAAACGTCGACCCCTCCTTATCACCCCTTACCCTATGATGGAAAGGGTCCTTCCACAGTCGCTGGAACGGAACCCCCATCGCCTAAGGGGCTGCTAATTGATTTTAGAAGTTCCTCCTTCGGGCCGCCCTACCCTCCCTCCGCTTCCCTCTTGTATACCGAAGGCTGAATTTTCGAAGGAAGACATCCACGCTTCCTATCGTGGCCACCGTCTAAGAGTCTTGCCTCCTAAGTCGTCTTAGAGCGGCAGTATTTCTCAACTCGTGAGTCATCACACTTTTTAACAATTTGTTTGATTATTTGCGCAATAAGCGTTGAACGTTTGTATTGAAAACGTTGGAGGAAGGATGAAGTGAATAGGAAAGTTTTTTAAACTGTAATATTTATATTGTATACCAATTTTTGTGATTTCGTGGGATGTATCGATGCATTGAGAATTTTTGTAAGATGGAGAATGGAAATGCTTTCGATATACTTATATGGGAATAAAGAATGCACAAAAATTATTGAAATTATATACTTTTTTATGTATAATTGTGAGAGGATTATTTCAAAAAATATTGGGAGACACTGTCTTAAAGATCTCTGGCCGTACAACGTTCACCCTTGTTTCTCGTTAAACGGAGCTCGATGGGAGCTTTCCCTTCATCCACGAAAATCGAAGATCGTGATAATAACGAGACGTAGATCTAAGAGAAATCAATTTTGTTTCTGTTTGATGTTTGCGTTCCATATTAAACCACAATTAATTGTAAATAGGAATGATAAAAATTTTCGATTTATATGAATATGAATTTTGTAAGATTGAATTTTTAATATGATCACGTGAATTATTATCGAAATAGAGGCACGTAACTCGAAAACATAAACACCAATCTAAAAAAAGGAAGAAATAAATAAATCTTCGAACAAAAATCCAAATGAATCCTCACTCTTTCGAAAAATCCAAAAAAAAGAATACCACCAATCTGCCAACAAATCTTAAAAAAGATACGAAACGACCTCGAGCAATCTCCTAAGAAGCTCCTCCGCGAAAGCATCAAATATCTCTCGTTTGGACGTGGAGCTTTTGAGACAGCGAGAAATCGCGCGTCAAGGGGGGCAAAACATCCCCCCTAAAAAAAAGGAGAGAGAGGAAGTGGCGAGCAATGGCCACTACGACCTCGGCTTTAACGACGCAATCAACTAGATCGTAGGAAAAGGCACGATACTTAAAGAGGAGACGCGAGGCCAGAGTGATAACAAGACGCGGGACCTTGAGGGCATCTCGACCAGGGCGGAACCACTCGGTGAACTTGGTACAAAAAAAAAAGGAGGGGGGAAGAAAAGAAAGAAAAAGAGTGGAAGGAGTTCGCTTGCCAGTCGTAATCACCGCCACTGCAACAATGCAACCCCCAGGGTTTGAGCTCTTTCCGCCCATGTTCTCCATCCATCCACCCACCACCCTAACTCGACATGGCTGCTGTCGCTTCGCTGTCCTCTTCGGTGTCGCGGTCGAGCAGAGAGGACCAGCAGCACTCATCCCCCTTCCTCTCGCTGATGGAAGCCTCTCTGTAGATAGAGACAGCCGAACCTTGGACACAATAAGCTTCCGGTTTATTAAAATCCATCCCCCTCCAGATATTTGCTCGTCACGATCAGCTGTGAACCGTTTGGGTATATCCGCGTGATCGAACGAAAGCAGGAGATCAATGGACCGACACAACACACGGGACCAAGCGTGAAATCGTGGGGAAAGTTTGGACAGGTTTCTTTTCTAAATGAAAGAGATAGAGAATTAAATGTATTTTTCTTTTTTTTTTTTGACGATTCTTTTGTGTATTCAATGATTCAATGCCGTTGTTTGTTTCTATAAATGGTACAATTGCTTTGAAGCGTTTGTGATGATGAAATTTTCAGTAAACTCGATGAAAATTGGATTGAAGAAGAATGAAAGGAAATGGTAAAACCAATTTTGAAGGAAATTATTGTAATAGGGAGGAGAATAATTATTACTGATTTTCAAATTCAATTACATCTAACAATTTTTGATTTTCATGCTAACATACAAAGAATAGATAGAAAATTCTATATACATATTCACATTTAATTTATTCGCACAGAATACCCTTATTTATACCCTTATTTCAAATACACCTACATTTTCGAGTAATTCGCCTAATGAATCCATTAAAGGGTCTAAGCGTAATCACCCCACTCGTTTCCCTTTTTATCCAACAATCTCCCCCTCCCCTCCCTCCTCACACACCCTTTCATACACCTTTCACGCAAACTCGTTCACCTCGGCCATCACCCATCCCCTAACCTTCCAAGGTATTAACGATAACCCTATTCTCTCTCTCTCTCTCTCTCGCACGAACGAATACAGCAAAAATCCGCGAAAAAGGACAAGTATCCCCTACCTCCTCCTTACCCCTCTCTCTCTCACCTCCCTCCTCGGTCAGGCTCGCTAAATCGTCCATTAACGCGCACTGAACCCTTGAAAATATCCTTCGGCGAAGAAACAAAAAGCCTACGGGGGCCAAAGAGACAGAGCGCGAGAAAGGAACAAAAGAGAGAGAGAGAAAGAGAGAAAGAAGAAGAGAGACGTGGAACAGAGACGAGCGACAGAGAGAGAGGAGGGATTGGCAAGGAGGGGGGAAAAAAGGCAGTGGGTGATCCGACTAGCGGCAAGATATTACGTAAGGGTGGCGGAACGCCCGGTACCTTTGTCGCCACTTAAAAGGGTCGTCCCCTCCTCTTCCTCAAACCCAAACGTCGTCGCCGACTTCTGCGAAGTCGTGCGAGACGCAGGTGGCCCGCTCGCGTTATCGTTGCTTCGCAGTTCGTCGAACACGAACGCCAACCCCTTCGCTTCCTCCGGGGAGGAATCCGCTCCGGGCGGGATCGTTTGGATCCCGAGGAAGCCAAACGTCGTTAATAACTCGCGGTACGTTTAATGCAGCGATATGCAGTGACGTCGCGCACGGGGATGATGGAGAAGGGAGGGGAGAGATTGCTAATTATCGCTCGCCAACCCCTTTTAAAATTGTGCTTACGGACTGGATGGAAAGCGGATTGAAGAAACGGTCGGACGAATGCTTGCCCGTTGATCTTGGGACGATTGTGAATGGATGGATGGATGGATGGATGGATGAATGGGGGGAGGGGGTGAAATGTGGCTGGAATTTGAATCGGCACGGTGTTTAATAGAGGGTTTGGGGCTATGAGGAAATGGATGAGTAACGAGATTAGATCGATGGGTTAGATTTACGGATGTGAGAGAGTAATTTATGAAAATGATGTTTTTCTAGTATTCCATACGGCGAAGTATTTAAAAATTATATTAATTTTGCAAATTGATTAGTGATTTGTAGCGATTTAATTTTTTTTTTTTTTGATTATTCGCATCAAATGATGATTTCATCACTTTATAAAACTTTTCTTTTATCTCGTTTATCGTTTTATTCTGTAATCTTAATTGTTTGAAAAATAAAATAAAGTAATACGTAAATTAGGGATGAATAAATATAAAATTTCAAGGCGATCGAGATATTTCCATAAAACAAAAAAGAAAAGTTCCAATGAAATAATTAAACAAAAAAAGAATACACCCCCGTTCCACGAATTAAAACATTTATAAATAACCGAGAATTCATCCTCCCTTTCTCGCTGATGGAAGCATTCAAGAGGGCGAAATTAATCTCGTTATTCCGAAACAAACGAGATCTTTTTCCTCGGCCAAGGAGGGGGAAGGAGGAGGGTCCATTTTTCCAAAGTAATTATACATTTCATCCGCGAGATTATTACCAAGGAGAAACGGTGCCATGCATCAACCGGCATTAGTCACCAGTCACCGTCGACTTATTCGACGCCATTACACCTCGCCATTGTATCCGTTCACCGCGCGCTAACACGAAATCTTGACACGGACAATGCATCGCAATTTCGAATCCCGATTCTTCCACGATCCTCTGGTCCCTGGATGGAACGAGAACGAAGAGAGATACAGAGAGGGAGGGAAATAGAAAGAGAAAGAGGGAAATCGACCCCCTCGATGCGCTGTAAATCCTGACGTTACATCATTAATGCGGCGGACTCGTTAATTAATTCGCCAATGTTGTGGCGTGCCTCTCTCCGCTCTACGTGAAGGGGGTGGGTTAAAGACCCTGGACGATTTGCTTCCCGTAGAAACACGCGTACATTTGCGCCCATACGATTCTAATTACCAGAATGACACGTCCAGAGCTGGGTTTACCGAAAAATCATTCGACACGCTCTGCCACTAGCAATACGCGCATCGAGGGGAGCTCGATTGAATTTTCGATACGTCTAGCCTCACCGATACCTTCCTGCCCGCGTCGATTCGAGAGTTGACGTCGAGACATCCGATTGGAAAGATGAAGAATGTAGTCAGTTCGTTGAATTTTGAGTTTATGATCGATTTCCTGATTTTTGCCAAGGATCAATCAAGATTTTTTGGGGGGAGAAGAATGCGAGTTAAGATAAGAATTAAGATTTGAGAATTTTTGAAAATTTTGGGGAATGATGTATTTTATTTATTAAATTCAAACATTATATTATATGAATATATATATCAAACAAAATAACTTTATAAGAATTTTTATAATACTTGTAATATCTTTAAAATATATATATATCTAAATAGAAAAGAAATTTTAAAAATATACGTATAAGAATGATAATAAATGATAAGCGATACAAATTCTATTTCTATAAATGTGTGACAGGCCGTATGTATTGATAAATAAATAAACGGCTCGAGTATCAGAAATAGATGGAGATATTATTTGTAAAGCTCGGATGCATTTACGAAAAAATGTTCACGAATCCGTGGGGATTACGATGATATTTTCTATCCCTGTTGTACAAGACCAATTTGGGATCGATAAGTATGACGAATGGTCGTGGCCAAACGTGAAATTCGAGGCTACGAAATTACGGGGCTTTCATAAGGATTACGCGCAAACGAGTGGTATTTTTAAAGCTCCGGATGGAGGAAATGCTCGAAGCAGCTGCAGATGACGCATCTCCCCCATGAAAACGTGTTTCTTACTCCCGTAGCATTCCATTTCTTTTTTAAAATCATAAATATTATCGTTCAAAAATTTACCTAATCTTAACA